ATATTGTGGTGCCCAAAACTGCACATGGTATTCAAGGTGAGGCCGGACCAGGCAGAGTAGAAAGGGACAATCACCTCTGTTGACAGCCTGGCAATGCCTTGCCTGATGTATCCCAAGACATGGTTGGCCCTCCTGACCGCCAGAGCACACTGTTGACTCATACTCAACTTGCCATCGACAAGGACCCTCAGGTCCCTTTCCACAGTACTACTTCCCAGCATCCCATTCCCCAGTCCGTGCATACAGCCAGGGCTGCCCCATCCCAGGTGCAGAATCCAGCACTTGCCATTGCTAAACTTCAGATGAAACTGAGTGACAATTCAGAACTCCTGAGAGCATTCATCTTTTCTTCCATCATAGGGAAGAAATTCATCAACATACAAAAATCTAATAGCTGGCTTTAAAGCACAGGCATGACTGGATTATGAAGCTGATAGAAGAAATTCTGCTAGCTCATTTCAGTAACACAAGGGAGACAAAAGACTCTCTCCATTCCCTCAACCCCAGGCCTCTAAGGACAAAAATGTCTATAATCACTGAAATAATAAATAGATAAATAAATACATACATACATGGTTTTACTTGGTCTTTTTGTGGGGTTTGCTGGGTGTTTTGTTCTGTCCCATTGCCACATCAGCATTCTGCAACAGAACTCTGGTACATTGGTCTCGCACATCATCTATTTAAGCCGATATTATTTTCAATTCAAATATGAATACTTAACGACTACAAATCTTTTTTCTGATAATTCAATATAAAAAGTTCACATGCAGAAACCATTATTCATTACTTGTGCAGAAGGCCAACAAGAGTTTAAAAGGCAGCTGAACAAGCAGTGAATACATGGCCTTCAAGGGTCTAGTGGGTTTGCGTGGTCCTGTTTTGGCAGTGGTCGGGGTTGGTTTCTTTAAGAAGTTGCTAGAAGCTTCCCCATGTCCAGCAGAGCCAATGCCAGTGGCTCCAGGATGGACCCACCACTGCACCAAGGCCAAGCCAATCAGTGGTGGTAGCAAAGCCTCTGTGATAACCTATTTAAGGAAAAAAAGTTATTGTGCAGAAGTAATTGTGGCTGGAGAAGAGAAGAGCGAGAATATGTGAGAGGAACAACTATGCAGACACCAAAGTCAGTGGAGAAGGAGGGGGAGGAAGTACTCCATGTGCCAGAGCTAAGGATCCCCTGCAGTCTGTGGTGAAGACCATGGTGAAGCAGCTGTTCCCCTGTAGTCCATGGAGGTTAACAGGGTGCAGAGATCCACCTGTAGCCTGTAGAGGAGACCCATGCCGGAGCAGGTGGATTCCCAAAGGAGGCTGTGAACCTGTGGGAATCCCATGATGGAGCAAGTTCCTGGCAGGGACCTGTGGACCCATGGAGAGAGGAGACTCACACCAGAGCAGAGCTCCTGTCAGGACTTGTGATCCCGTGAGGGACCTGTGCTGGAGCAGGCTGTCCCTGAGGGGCTGGACTGCACCCTGTGGAGAGTGATCCACACTGCAGCAGTTTGTGGAGAACTGTAGCCTGTGGGAAGGATTCGCGTTGGACAAGTTCATGGAGATCTGTCTCCTGTGGGAGGGACCCCACGCTGAAGCAGGGGAAGGACTCCTCTCCCTGAGCAGCAGCAGAAACAACGTGTCGTGACCTGACCCTATTCCCCACTTGCTGTCTCCCTGTGCCACTGGTGTGGAGGAGAAAGAGTTGGGAAGGAGGGAGGGGTGGGGGAGCATGTTTTTAAGATGTTTTATTTTCTTACTATCCTGCTCTGATCTTGTTAGTAATAAAATCACTTAATTTCCCCAAGCTGAGTCTGTTTTGGCCATAATGGTATTTAGTGAGTGATCTCTCCCTGCCCTTAACTCATGAACCTTTCATTATATTTTCTCTCTCCTGTCTATTTGTGGAGGGGAGCGAGAGAGCAGCTCTGCAGAATCAACCTGCCTACAAAGCAAGAAAAATCCACAAACTCAACAAAGTCCAAATTGTAGACATTCTTGAAGTCTGAATGACAAATGTTAAAAAAGACATCACTTCAAATACTTGACTATCACATTAACCACCCCAGTAATAATTTCTTTTTATAATGCCTTATTACTGGCTTGTTTCAAGGAATATAGAACATATAGTACTTAATAACTTTGCATGACAATCTTTTTTAAGCATTCACCAAGATGTCAGCCTAATATACTGCTATTACTATGACATCTTCCAGTTACCTTACTGCTCATTTTCCTTCTGTATTTTACACAATGTGATGGGAAAGCGGTTTTCTCTGCAGTGTTTCTACTTGCAGTTTCAAAGCACATCAGATACTGTATACCAGCAAAAATTTAAGATGAACTGAAAGGCAAAATCTGTCAAAGCACTGAACAAACACATATACAACTTTCGCTCAAACCAATTACCCTGGCTCAGCTTCCTTCAGAGTTTACCATCTCAAGTTTTATAAAGCAAAACAAGATAAATTCCACAACACAGCTCAATTTAACTAAGTTATAAAAATATCAAAGGCTCACCCTGAACTTCAGCACACTTATTTCTAAAACACAAAGAACTGATGTGACAGCCTAGAGATGTGGCTGGTGTCAGAGGATAAGACTGCTAGCCAGGTTTAAGACTTGCAGTGTATATGAAGATGCACTAGATCACTCACACATGCTTCAGGTCGGTTCATTTATTCAGGTTTCTTCTTCAGACTAATTTAAGGAGGACAATGGTTAATTCTATACTACCTAAATACATCATTTCCTCAAACATGAAAGGACAGCACAAGCCTATTTTGTAAAGAAGGACAAACTTAAGACACATGCTAACAGACTTCAACCACTCATCAGTAATTCTTACTGCACAACTACAAAAATACACACTTGGCTATCTCCAAAAGAAATCTGGGAAACCCATGTGACAAAGGTTTGGTTGTTTAACACACAGAAGTGTACTGGGGATCAAGTCCTAGAAAGATCATCCACCAGGAATAATTATTTCCACATAATTAACAGGCATCTGAGCTGTGGCTACTACCATGTGTACAAACAGTACTGCTGAACTGTGACCTCTGTGCCCACACAATCTAAATTCACTAACGGAGATGTCCTACTTAATTCTTGCTGTGAAATTACCCCTAGTTTTGCCCTTGCCCTTTTTTCCTCTTTTTTTTATTCCTCTTACAAAATTCAAAGCAATAATCTGCTAAGAAATTTCCTGAAAGACATATTTAAAGGCATCTAAAGGTTGCTTCATAAGCAAACCTGCTATTTAAAAGTCCTGAGCAACTTCATTTTAAAATGCACAGTTATCTCAACAGAGGGGTTAGAAAAAAAATATGGACAAAAGACCTATTTAAAAACTGACTGTAGGAACTTTAATTGGCTTCCAATCTGAATTCTGCCATACAGAGTGCTGAGGACAGTGTAAATCTCTCAAATTCTCTTGACAAAGCATAAAATACTCAGTACCTTATTGAAGCATTTCCCACTCTCTCTGTTCCTGACAAAGATTCTCAGATGAGAGAAGGTGCAAGAGAAGAGTTCCTCATGGTTAGCTGATTATTGAAATTAGCAGAAAAAGGTAAGGTAATTTCTCACTACAAAATATTCTAGTCTGAGTCCAGACTGCTCCTGTGCCCAGGTATGAGGTACTCAACCAGCTGGGATTTCAAGCTATAAACTTATATAATTAAGATATAAAATATTTATATTCCAATTTTTTTCCAATAACATACAATTTTACCCAGTAATACACTATTTTATCTTTACCATAGGTACACAATGAGATCATAAAAAAGCAACTACCAAAGCCTTTACAAATATAGTTAAATTTTATTCTTGTTTCCAGTAATAATTAAAATAGGTTTCTTACAATTCCCTTCTCTGTTTCAGCTCTCAAATCAGCTGGTGCTCATTAGAGCTCTTCTCCTTTATTCAAGTCTTCTTTTGCTTCCACATCTGCCACCTCAGGGTGACTGCAAGCAGCATCGCTAGCTGAGAGCTTTTTCATTTTGATATTTGGCAGTTTCCTCAGATCACCATCCCATTCTCTTAGAGAGGGGGAAAAAAAAGTAATTAAAAACAATTACCAACAGAAAGGAAGGAATGGCAGAATTGATTCACCTTTCCTCAGAAGATGCATTTGAATGAGCCTGCTTTTCTAAATTATCCTATCACTCCCACTGTGGCATGAATAAGCACCAAAGATTTCACCTGATTTTGTACACTACAGTAGCTGTAATTTCTCTGTGAAGAAATAAGTACTTTCATATTTGACATTCTGAATAAAAAAATGTATGACTCACTTTATTCCCACAGACTATTTGTACCCTCAAGTTACTGTAGGCCATCTGCTTTTAAGTTTGTATCACTCAACTACCAGTCTTGTAAGCAACAGAAAAGCAGGTTGGAAGAGTTTCTTCATCTGCGTGCTTAATTTGCACAGCTAATATCACATGTACATAAAAATCTTTTGAATCACTTGTGCATTTATAAACACAGTATATCTCCTCTTTGAGATTTCTGGCTTTATCCTATAAGTATGACTTCTGGCTATGTACCAGCCCTGGGAGTTAGTGATATATCATTCCTTGCAACATAAGCATTCCTAAGTAATTTTTTTTCCTTGAAAGTATCTCACTGGATAAAGCTATCAGCAAAAATGCTCATTCAGTCTGTTACCAGGCCATACCAGCTTCCTGGCCCAGACAAGCTAGCAGCAGGTTTCACAGCTCTCGGATCGTTTAACTGGATGCAAGTCATCAATTCACTTTGGATTTTCAACAAATATATACACATACCAACACTAGTCTCCCACACCTAGCGTTGGATCTTAGAAAATACGACTAAGAACTTTGTGCTCTTTTAGGTACTTAATGGTAAGTTCTGACTATAAATAACGTAGGTCACTGCTACATGACTACAATTAGCATCTGAAATCTCAGTTCAGGTAAGAAAACAGTGTAATTCCACTTACCTGTCTTAATCCTAAAACACTAACAGTTAATGCTAATTCTTTTTGTGTAAATCAGTGAACAGCTGAGGTCAGAATTCCAGGTAAAGATAAAATAATATCTAAGAATGTTGAAAAAAAGATACTTAAGTTACAGAAATGGAATTCTGTTGAGGTTTTCTAACTCTCCAAATGTTTTATTCAGTGTCACCAGTGTTTAGCTTGTAACAGCAAAGAAATGCCAAAATATCAGTACCATACCTAGGCTGCTTTTTCAAATGACAAATTGACAGTTTTGCATACTCATTTTCATGAAAAAAGACATACAACATGTCAACTTCAGAAACACTGTTCTGTACAAAAAGATTAGTAGTGATAATCAAAAGAACTTACCTGAAAAATTTAAGATGCTTTCTGTTCATAATGTCTGGGATTTCTAATAGGAATTAAATTAAATTGTATTAGATGTGTTACATTATTCAAGTGAGTTTCACTTCAAAAAAAGCAATGTGAGCTAAATGTCTGAACATCAGCAAAAAAAATGGCCAAGAAAATGAGAACCAGGATTCATGTTTGAAAGTTTCTAGAGCAATGTACAAACAGGAAGACCTGGCCCTGCTAAAGAAAAGGAAGCAAACTTACACCTACAAATTGTTCCAGAATTCGAATGTACCAGTTACTGAAAATCCAATCCTGACAACTTACTAAAAGAGGATGCTTCATTTTCTCTAAACTGACACACCTGAGAAATAGGAAAAATTTAAGCATCTCAAGTTTCCCTTTAAAAATGTTCAGTGAAGAAACTAGGAAAATAATTAAATTTTTATTTGTTTTAAAAGTATAACTAACTTCCTCAACCATGATCCAGGCCTGTTTTTAATGGGCATTCATTCCCACATAATTAAAAAACCACCCAATTCTGCTCTGCAGAATTTACAATCAATATGCACAACACATAAAAGGTAAAATAAGAAAGCTTAGTTTCAAAGCTGACCTAAATATACATCTCTTACTCTAAATTTATGAGTATTTAGAAATGTTTTTTGAAAACATTTCAAAGATCAGTTTAACTCTTTGCTGCAAGCAAGACAGCAGAGAGTTAGGAAAGTCATTCTGATAATTCAAGTAAGAAAATGTAACAAACAGTTAAATACACACTGTAAAATATACCATGCAGTACAAGAATATATATGTGTTGTATGATTTTAAAATATAAGCACTGGAAAAAGTATAGTAACATGTCGGGTGTTTAAACAGAACACATTCTTGGATTTTGGAATATACTACTACTTTCTTCCATCTGCAATGAGACAGTCTGAGAACAAAGAATGGCTATTAGATAACAATTAGCCTCACTCCAATGAAATTAGTTTCCATTGTTAAATACCTGTTCTATAAACTACTCAATACAGGGGAACTAGCATTTGATGGTTACTGAAATGCCTATTAAACACTGCAGTAAATGCAATGTAACATTTACAGAGACTGTTGGCACCTGTCTCTTCTCAGGAGCTGATGTTTATCTCAGTTGAGCACACAACCACCACCCATTTTAAATGACAAAGTTTTCTGTCTTCCCTATTAACAGAAATAAGTAACATATACCCATGACAACTCTGTATTACCTCTGGTAGTAAAAAGCAAGGCAAACGTCTGTACAGAGACCTACATGCACAGGAGCAGCATATTCTGTCTCAAACATTCTGACTGTGCTGACAGGTAAGATGTGCTTGGAGCAGAGGGTCCTGCAGAGGTGAGACAGTGCTGTTCTGAGCCACCTTCCTGCTGCACCTGGAGACTCCTGCTTAGTCATGTCTGGCCCCCCTCCCTCACTCCCTGGGGGAGGGCTCAAAGGGCTGCTCTGTACACATGAAGAGAATGGTGTGAAGAATCTAGTTAAGAGGCTGCATCAAGTTCACTATAAAAGGGAGCAGATCAGGCCCCCTCTCTCTTTTTCCCCACTCTCTCTCCTTCCTCTATCACTCTCATGCTTTGCCCCAGCTCCAGAACATCCACATGGCAGGACCAATGCGGGATCAACGGACTGGTTAGCTCTCTTCTTTTTCTGTCTTTACTTCTTTCTCTCTGTGCTTTGCTTGGACAAAGCACAACTATCATACAAACTACTGTACTGAAGTTTGTTGTGGGAGTGGGGAGATTGTGAAAAGTAGCGGTGTGGCTTGTGAACCTGCACCTTTAAGGAGTTCGTTGTGGGAATCAAGAAGTTCTTGAAGGGTAATGGTATTGTATTTATAAATATAGGGCTTGTTATCCTCCACTCCTGAAGAAGTCTATTGTATAAATTTAAGAGTTTGTTTCCTAACACCCTTTGGATCTAAACATTAGGCTGGTTGCTGCAGTTACTGCGACTGTAGGATAAAATCTGAGGTCCCTTACACATGGTCCTGTCTTTGTTCAGCCTGGCAAAAATAGATAATGACCATCACGCCCCTACAGGTGGGTCCTGACACTACGGGACAGACCGTTTTGCTTTTGTAAATTTCTGGCGTAGCTAAAACCTGCCTGCTAGATCTGTAGTTTATAAACAAAAGCAGATTTTTACCTAGGATGCCAAAGATGCTTTTCCTCAATTCAGCGTCATTCTTTATTTGGTCAGTCCTGCAGTATTGCAAGCAACCCGTGTTTAACATTTTCACTAATTGTATTACCAAGATTTATGCCTTAATCTTGAAAATACCTTATTACTGTCTATGAACTGTACAGATTTCACAGCCAGCAGGTTTCTCAACAAGGCAGATGCTTTCTATGTCTGTAACATTAAATCTACTTTATTTTAGCTGTTAAAATTGTAACATTTCACAAACTTCTTATACTGCCCTTGAATGAGCCCTGAACCTACAGTTCTGCCTTTGGTCACCTATTAGTGTTCCCAAGTCTTACAGTTATTAATAAGATCATGCTATCAATGCAGGATTATAGATGATTTTGCTACTGCAGAATGTAGGACAGCAACACCTCTTTTACTTACCTTTGTGACCAGGTAGTCTTTACTATTCAGAAAACTATTCCTTCCTTTTGCACTTAGTTATAAAGTTACCAGCGAAGAACAGCAATATATGCAAAATGTTTTGATAACAATTACACCTATTTCTGCAGCCTGCTTCTTGGTTATCAGGTAAGGTGACACTGCTCACAGCTGAGCAAGGCAAGGCAAAGAAAGAATTTACCTAATGCTATTTTGTCTGCTGATTCCTTGGTTCTAATAAACATCAATGCCACATTAGGTCCATCCTTCCCAACTAAGTGTTGAAACACAGCCATGGTTCCTCCTGCTTTCTTTGCAGTCCCTTGAACTGCACTCTAGGCAGCACAGTGCCAAATGCTAAAACATCCCAGCTCTCATGAGAGATTTTTCTCTTCTGTCAGGTATTTCACAAGGAGCAATGCCTACTGGTTTGCTTCTAGGACAGAGCTTAGCTCATGTAAACCATGAGTTTGGCAGAAGTGCACCATGCTAATTTGGGCCAACTCCCCCAGAAATATGCTGAGATTTGTATTTGTTCCTTCTATCAAAACACTGATTCAACATACAGTTTAGTGTTCTTGTCAGACAAACCAAGACTACATGACAAGACTTTCAAATTACATTTGATTACATTTTTGGAAAGCATTTAATGGCTTTTATTACCTTAAGCAGGATCTTTTTCAAAGAGATTATTCTAACAGTTTGATCTAGCCTGTCATCCAGGGCTCACCAACAGCACAAGAATGCAGGCATTCTGAAGGGAGAAGATTCAGTGACAAACCAAGATTTGGCACTGAAATCGATCTTTACTACTTTGGCAGTGGCAAAGATTTTTAAGCTAGCTTACATGTGTGTTTGCAGTATGTTACACAATAAAATCCACTGAGTTTCCAGACTAAGAACAGCACTAGAAACTTTAGTACCATGTGTGTAGAAATAAAGTACCAATATATGATTTTTTAAATTATGGTGGATTAATAACACTTGTCTTACTCAGATACACCTCCTTAGCATGCACTAATGTCATGGTTTTTGCAGCTACTTTGAATTCCTCCATTTGATTAAAAATGTGAAGTCACAGGAGTATGTTTTTCTGAAGTAAATACAGAAAAAATGAAGAGGGAAATATGGCACAGGAGGTAGTGGAAAAGAAATGAAGACAGTATTTGGGGGAGCAGATATTGTCTGGCATTTCTAAGATCAAGTATTCAGCAACTTACAGCTTTAACAAAACAGCAGTGAAAAATTTAAGTAAGCATTTTTTAACGTTTCTGATGCTTTCAGACAGGAAAATAAAACTGTCTTTCTTATGAGGAATAACAACCAACCTGTTAGCTCTCAAACTTTCTCATGAAGCTGTAAGTGCTTAACACCATTTTGTAGCAAGGAAAAAGAGAAAGTGACTAAACTTACTTTATAACACAAAACTTGAGTAAAATACTGCAAAATCAGCACCTTCCAAACTGTTAGAACAGAGAAGCACTGCACCAGATTACTTCAAAGTTCTTGTGGGGATCAGAAGGAAAAAGCTTCTGCTAGCTGTAGGTGTAAAGAAGTCAGCTTCTGTGCATGGGCTTGAACTGGAGGGCTTCTAAAGCATAGCTACAGAAAAAGGGGATAGAGCCAATCCTGATTTCAAAGTGCCCTTCTACAGATGTATTCCACAGCACTATTTTTCAACCAAGTGCACTGTAAGAGTCAGCTGAGAGGTTTAATTTCCTTCCAGAAGTATGCTGTTAATAGAAACATTATTGTTCTTCACAGCAGTAACAATTTCCCTCTCTCAAAGCAAAAATTTGCACAAGACATTTACCTAAATCCCCAAAAGACTGAATAGTCATTGCTCTGACAGTGCACAGAACATAGGCTGCATATATACCACATGCATTAGATCTGTCATCAGAGAAACAGCCAAGTCGGGTCAAAGGATGATACTGCAGCCTGAAGTTGAAAAATAGGGAAACTGCAGATGCTCTTTAGATAAACAATCATTCAGTTATACAACAACAATCACTACAGAAAACAGCAGCTAACAAACAGTACAGCACTTACACTAGAAGATACATGGAAATGACACAGCTTTCATCGGAATTAAATCCATTTCCTTGTAATGTGAAGTCTCAAGACTTAATGAAACTAGTTCATTTAGTTTTAAAAGCCATTTTCCCCCAAGATTAATACTAAGCTTCTGAGAGAACTTGCAAGGTAATTGAAGCAAATCATCAAGACTGTACGATGTTCCGATGAAATAATGATGGTGCTTTTCCACTGAAAGCATGCTAACTCTGAGTTCCACATAAACAAGTAAGTGTCTAAGATTTCCTTTCAAAAGCTTTGCTATAAACATACAAGACCAGATTTAAAAAGAAAGATACACAGAAATGAAAACAAAAGGAAGAAAATGGCAGTAAAACTAATGCAGATATATTTAAAGAGTAAGGCAAGCAACAAGAAGCTGCTAACAAAATTCTAAAACCTCACAGATAGACTGAATGTTCCCTGCATAGGTACTGTTTTTTTAAAGACTAAAATTTACTATACTTGTTGATATCTACCATTTTTGTAAACGAACTTGTACACTTTTGTAAAGAATTAATTTTTCATTTATATTTTTTTCAACACGACAAGAGGAAATGGCCTCAAGCTGCCCCAGAGGAGGTTCAGGTTGGACATATGGAAAAATTTCTTGACTGAAAAAGCTGTTAGGCATTGGAACAGGCTGCCCAAGGAAGTGGTAGAGTCATCATCCCTGGAAGTGTTCAAGAAACAACTGGACACTTAGTGCTGTGGTCTAGTTGACATGGTGGTGTTTGGTCAAAGGTTGGACTCATTGATCTTGGTTCTTTTCCAAGCTTAATGATTCTGTGATATAAATAGACAGCACCAAATTTTAGGAGACTTTCCAAAGTGAAAAGAATACATATTATGGAGTCTCTTCATAGCAAATGCACATGCATACAAGAAATAACTGAGTTCAATAATACGGGGGGAAAAAAAACTCCACAAATACTAAGTCAGTTACAAAAGCTCCACTCACTACAGCTTCCAGGAATAATAATGAGCTAGAGGCATAAAGGCACTGTTTCCAGCTGATTTCCATTTATGCCCAGTCTCTAATTACAGTATTTAGTTGCTACAGTACTTAGCAGCAACTATTTTCTCTGAATGAATACTGTCCTAGACAGAGAGCAAAACCTGCAGCAGCTGTGATAACAAATAATGAATGATTTGAAAGTGTATTTAATATGTGAAGTTGCACTGTGCTCTCTGAATGCTTTACTTACTAATACTATAATAACATCAAATTTTGCCTACAATATTTCTTGATTGTTCATTATTTTTGTGTTGTGCTTGTGCATTTGACATCTTTTTCTCTAGTCCTATTGCTTTTTTTCTGGCAGCTTTCCACAAAGCAGTAAGGAAAAAAAGAACCAAAATTTAAAAACAAAAACAAAAAGATGATTTTCTACAACTGAGCCATTTAATGACATTTATAATATCTATTTTCCTATGACTATTTTCCTCCTCTTCTAAAAAAATCAAAGATAATGCATAAAGTCATACGGATATGCCCAAATTCCTGTGCCTCTGCAGGTTGCACAGGCAAAATTTTAAAGCCATTAATTTTCTTTATTTGTACAATGTGAATCAGGGTGTACTCATTTTGGCTAGAGTAGACTTAATTTTCTTCGTAGTAACTAGTACAGTGCTGTGTTTTGGATCTGTGCTGGAAACAATGTTGATACACAAGGATGTTTTCCTTATTGCTGAGCAGAGATTGCACAGAGTCAAGGCCCTCACCCCACCCCACCAGCAAGGACACTGGGGGTGCACAGGGAATTGGGAGGGGACACAGCCAGAACATCTGACCCACCTGACCAAAGGGATATTTCATACTATATGGCATCATACTCAGCAAATAAAGCTGGGGGAAGGAGGAAGGTGAGACGTTTGGAGTGATGGCATTTGTCATCCCAAGTATCTGTTATGGGTGATGGAGCCCTGATATCCTGAGGATGACTGAATACCAGGCCCACAAGTTCTCTCTTTTACACTTCTGATTCTTTCCCCCATCCCAGTGGGGCAGGGAATCAGTGAGCAGCTGTGTGGTGCTTAGTTGCTGGGGTTAAACCACAACACAGGTAAACAGAATATGACATACAACCCAAACTTTGCAGTGCTTTGGATCCTAACCACAGAAGAACATAGTTTTTCATGTCTTCCATGACAAACTTTCACTGTTAGAGGGACTGATTGTGTCTGAATTATACTTTAGCATTAAAGCCAAGCTCATCACGCAACTCCAACACATTTATTTGTTTAAGTGAAATACCTAAACTTCACGGCTATCTTGACTCTCCTCAAAAACAACTCTGCTTTTTGCACTTTAATTATCCCACTGTCTTTCTCCCTCATTTACCAGATTACTGCTGCTTCCCTTCAGCCTAGTTCCAGCTATCAATTGAAGGTCCAAACAAACTGAACAGAATTCGTATTTGAGACAGACGTATTAAATCTCACTTTACTTTCAAAACTATTTTATATACACCTGCAGTGAAGAGACAGTACTAGAAAAGATGCACAAAGAAAAAGCAGTAAAGTAGAACGATATGAGTTGGATCTCCACCATCTTTATTTCTCCTTTTCTTCACCCTGACCCTCCTCCCAAACTCCTCTGCAAGGCACAAATACCTAGCAGTTAGTTAATTTCTTAAAAGAGAAAAATTAAGATAATGCCTAGAAATTCTACTGAGATTCTAGCCCTGTGAGCAGGAGGAGAAGATGTGAGCACAGGATTATTTCTAATGCTTTTACGTACCTATTCCATAGCCCTCATAGAGTTGTCTTTCACGTTCTATGGTCTGCTTGATGACAGTTTCCCGTGAACCATGCTGTCTTCCTTTTCTACCTTTAATACTGTTTTGCAATTCAATCTGCTCCAATTCGGCATTGAATCGACACATATAACTGAAAGAAATAAAATGCATTTATGCTAGATGCAGTCATGCAAAAGTTTTGCAAAACAGAATTTCACAAAAGGTTTTACAAAACAGAATTGGTGCAAACCAATAAAACAAGAGGTAACGGGCAGAAACATGCACAGGAAGTTACATCTGAATACTAGGAAGAACTTCTTTACTAGTGACGTGACTGCACACTGGAACAGATTGCCCAGCGTGATGGTGGATTCTCACTCACTAGAGATATTCAAGAACTGTCTCGGCACAATCCTGTGTCATGTGCTCTAGGATGACCTTGCTTGAGCAAGGTAGGACTAGATGACCCACTGTGGTCCCTTCCAATCGAACTGATTCTGTGAATACTTTTGATAACCTGTTTTACTAATTGTACTGCACACTGGAACAGATTGCCCAGCGTGATGGTGGATTCTCACTCACTAGAGATATTCAAGAACTGTCTCGGCACAATCCTGTGTCATGTGCTCTAGGATGACCTTGCTTGAGCAAGGTAGGACTAGATGACCCACTGTGGTCCCTTCCAATCGAACTGATTCTGTGAATACTTTTGATAACCTGTTTTACTAATTGTATTTATTTTCTAAATTATTCAGAAATATTTCTTAGACTTGAACAGTTACTTTAATCTTCAAAGTGGAAGCTCCATTTAGAACTTCATTTGAATCACATGCAGCCTCCAGCAGGATTAAGTTTTTTTTATTTGTTGTGTTGATTTTTGTTAAATTATCTTTGCATAAACCAAAACCCTCTCATTATGATAATTCACCTGCTCTGGAAAATCAGTGTTAAATCTAAGTATTCCTAACTTTTAATTGCCTGATTTCAACACCTCAAAATAATCTCTTATAGTAACTTTTAAAGTAAAACTCTTCATTGTCATGTGTTCTACATCTTTTTGCAAACTTCCAGCCCAAATCCAAAAAGTAAGCTTTCACTGCCTTTGCAGCATCACTAGCAGTTTAGAGGTTTCATGAAGAGTGTAGAAAATACGTCAGAGCTTCAGAAAGGACACCGACATAATACAACTGGGTAAGAATACACATCTATCTTATGTTATTTAGCTAGCAGGTAAAAAATGGTGACAAGCCACAGGTACACATATCCAGCAGCACAGAAACAACTCAGTTTCTTCTTAGCAGATTCAATTATGGTGCTTCCTACCCTACAAACTGACCCACATCAGTATTATTTAATCTTCCCAGCAAAGAAAATTTAAAAATAAAGGAGTACGTAGTATGAAATTTGCACATTCAAGTGTCATGGAATAACCCAACAAGCATACAATTACTACTGTCCAAATCATTTAGAGTCCTCCACATGCTACAAAAGCAGAGATATACTTAAATAATTTTTTTTTAAAACCCCACAACACATGACTAATTTGAGTAATTCTATGTGAATATATACATCTTTCAATATACAGTTATCATCAGTGGCAATGAAATCAACTACTTGATATTATTAATAGCAATATATAAAAACTCCTCCTTTGAGTCATCATCACTCTACAGATCTTATACTAAGAACATTATTTTTAAGGACAAATCAAGCTTTTTAATCCTGTTTTCAACTGCAGTCTTACTTTTCAATTAGTTCACCAGCTTCCCTCTTTGTGTACTCGATTTTGTCGGGGTCAAGGTGACTTTGAAACCATTGCAATTTCTCTCCTACAAGAATAAACTTTAAATTAATGCTTATATCATCACTGTAGCACCAACACAATTTAAAGTTCTTCAAAGGTTTTGAAATAACCCCCATTTTTCAGAATTTTTAATGGCATCATAGACTCTCTGATACTGTGGGTACCAAGTATGAAGATAGCTGTAATAGAAACAGTCTCACATCATTTCAGATTTATTTTAGACCTTTCTTACAGAGAAAAATAAAGACATGATGCATTCCTTTACTGGAAATTAGTGTTTAAAATATCACTAGATCACTTGCTTAGGAAGGAAACTTCAAAAGGTTCCAAGGGGAAAAAAACAACAAAATACCTTAGCAAGCATTCTGACCATCACCATTTTTAAACAAGCTAAATTGAAAAGGTGCAGTGTCAATCACCTGGAGGAGAAAAATACTCCAGGTTGTGTCATGAAGTTTCAAATTTATTTGCCAGCACAATGTGTCTGTTAACCTACATATATCATCTTCTTTTACAAGGAAGTAAAAAAAAGCCTGGAGACTAGTACAGTAAATACATGTACACATATACAAAACAGTCCTCTGGTCTGTGCTGCCCTCTGGTCATGTACACTGACTAAAGATTAGGCTATACTTAATCCCAAATTCAGTTCTGTATATATTACTTGAGTAAATCACCAAATCACAGAATAATCAGAGTTGGAAGGGACCCTTGAGGATCACCTAGTCTAACTCCTGGACCTGCACAAGACACCCCCAGGAATCACACCATGTACTTGTGTGTGTTGTCCAAACACCTCTTGAACTCTGTCAGCCTTGGGGCTGTGACAACTTCCCTGGGGAGCCTATTCTAGTGACTGACACCCTCTGGGTGAAGAACCATTTTCTAATATCTAACTTAAATCTCCCCTGATGCAACTTGAGACCATTCCCTTGGGTCCTGTCACTGGTTGCCAGAGAGAAGAGCTCAGTGCCTGTCCCTCCACTTTCTTCCATGAGGAAGCTGTATACAGCGATGAGATCTCCCCTCAGTCTCCTCTTCTCTAGGCTGAACAGACCAAGTGACCTCAGCTGCTCCTCTATGGCTTCCCCTCAAGGCCCTTCACCATCTTTGCTGCCCTCCTTTGGACACTCTCTAATAACTTAGTACCTTTATTATATTGTGGTGCACAAAACTGCACACAATATTCAAGCACAGAGTAGAGCAGGATAACCCTCCCTCAACTGGCTGGCAGTGCCTTGCCTGATGCACCCCAGGACACGGCTGTCCCTCCTGGCTGCCAGGGCACAGTGTTAACTCATACTCAACTTGCCATCAACAAGGACCCCCAGGTCCCTTTCCCTGGCACTACCTTCCAGCCTGTCCTTCCCCAGACTGTACATACAGCCAGGGTTGCCCCATCCCAGAACATGTTAAGTATTTTAGTGTTTCAACAAAGTCAATTTTAAGATTTCAGAATCAGTTATAGAGAAAGAAACTCTAACTGGAGTATCTACAAAGCTGGTTAAACTTAGAATTTATGCTAAGAAGCTGAATACTGTATTCAGTAATAAAAGGTTCTGCTTACCAATAATACTTAAACGCAAAGCTTTGTCAGTCTTCAACCTAGGAGGGAAAAAAACGCATATATGTTAGCCAGGAATGAGTACCATACATATAATTATCTTAATGTCACTCTCCAAAGTCAAGGTAACATTTCAAATAGAAACATTTTCCACATTCAGAACAATATAAAAGTTATTCTGTTTCATCAAAAATATCTACTTTTTAGTAAAACTACTATCTGAAATTTGTCCAGTTTACCTATTAAGTTAAATAGTTTCTTGGAAGAAATAAGGACACATTTTTCTCAGAGCACAACAAAAGGAATTTCACAGAAGAGCTGCAGTGTAACAACTTCTTTAAGTATTTCTGATATTCTGATGGTATGTTTAATGAGTTTGGAGATTTCACTGCACTGCATTTCACACAATGTGAAAAATAGCATTCTAGTACCTAATAAACTTGTAATAATTCAAGTTTGTGCTTAGTGAACAGTAAATTAATCTGTTAAGAAAGCAAAACTAACAGCTGTATACAAAAAGTTGAAAAAAATCTATTCAAAGTATTTTTAATTCCATCGCAAACTCTGTCAGGACATTCAAAACCTTTTGTACTCTGTATGATGTGTGTACACAATTCCGCTTGGGATTAATTCCCATTGTATTTAGCAATTCTCAATGACAAGTTTTCTAACAGATAATACTGTGTGTCATGCTCTTTTGTCCAGAAGGTGTCAGATTCACTATGCAGGAACAGATGTTGCCGAATGACACTTTATTTCCAGAAAGGAAAACAAGATATTATTGGGATAAGTATGAAATTCGTCACTGGAAAAAAATATCTTAGCCACGCATACTCAGTATATATATCCAAGGACCTCTGACAAAATACTTTTTAATTATTAATATTATTAAAAAATCAAATGTATAAAGGATGAAATAAATCATAAAGGATATTGTTGACAAAGAAAAAATAATGCCAAAATTCATCACAGTTCAAAGCTAATGTGCTCCTTCATTAACTTCCTTTTATTCTATAGAATTTAATGAGGATTTCAGAATTACCTTAAGTAACTCAGAGCACAGAAATCTGTCCCAAAAATCAGGATCAGAAGATAAAACTCTACTTTCCAGGGACAAACATACCTGTGTCACTTGGCCACAAACCCACATTATTAAAATATAGATTAGCTTCTTCAAGATATACTCTATGCTCCAAAGACCATCTAAAAGCCACAAAAAAGCAAATGCACAGCATATGTGAACTGCTAAGAATTCCACTAACACATTCAAGAGCATTTTTACTCCTATAGATACCCCGAGCATCTGGGAGCATTTTTAATGCAGAAGTCTAAACAAGTCAAGCATGAGCTTTTGGAGTATGGCATACCTATAAAAAGAAAATAATCAAGCTGGTTGATTAAATAAAGTATTTTAGTGTTAAACCAAAAATTACTCTTGTTTCTGCAAGTTAAAGGACAGACCTGGGTGAGACTATGTTAAAAAGAAAGAAAAAAGGACTTAGGAGTCAGCTTTAAAACTCAGCTGTAGAAAGAAGCCTCCAGTAAAAGCTGGGGCAGGCACACACAGAGGGCTCACAGCAGGGAGCTCTGAATGGTAACAGGGCCCAAGAAAAGGACAGATATCCAGAGGAACTCCACACCAGCAGTCCCTGCTGTGAATCTTGCATGGCAATACTGCAAGCCAAGCATGTCTGCAAAGTGTTGCCATGGAGAAAACAATGATGCCAACTAGAAAAGATGCCTAAATGCAATCATAAATTACACCATGTATCTATGTCCTAAAACACTACACATTACCATTTGCACCTGCCAGGGTCACTAGACCATTTATTTATCAAAGCAATGAAGTACATACCCATATATTTCCTTCTGGTAGAAAAGGTGTCCAGGTGCACACAACTAATTTCAGTATGAGAAATAATGGGTAAGCTCAGATGTTCCTTACCATACTTTTCAGAAAAGCTTCACCTCAGTGACTGCTAGAAGACAATAGCATTAACGGGGAAGCTAATCAAATCAGGTGAGTCAAAGAACTTCCTCTCACTTCTACACAATTAGGAGAATCTTTTGCTCAAAGGAAGGAGAGGGTAAGGACAGGGATACTCTGTGGCAGGTTGTTGTTTCTTGATGATCTTCTCCTCCACCCACCTCCCAAATATCAGCGGCTTAAGTACTGATGATTGTTAAAGAGTTATTGGTGGTTTTCTTGATGTTCACTAGGTACTTAAAAAGTTAAATTCTACATGTTCCTTCAGCAGCTCCTTATCTCAGATATTGTATTCAACTGTTCTACTCTAATACTAACACTGAATACATATTTCCCAAAGCAGTTTTCCAATTCTATGTTTTTCCCCCATAACCTCCACACATACCAATGCCATCCATGGCTCTGAAACCTAAGATAGGCTCTTCATTAAGAAAAAAATTAAATGAACATTCATAGTTGACAGGATGTATTTCCTTGTTTTAGACTGCTAAATAACTTCCATATGGAGAAATATGGATACACAGGTATCCATACACATACAAGTTTTTGTTAGCTTGGTTAAGCATCTTAGGATACTTCCACATGAAAATCCCCCTCTTAAAATTTTGATTTTTTTCAGTTCATTTATTTCTACAAGCAAAATAAATAATTGCAAAAGGTAACATCTTTTGAGTTCCATATGAAGAATCTGCACGAGCACATCACAAAGCATCACTCCTGCAAACAGTACAAGCAGAAGCATAGCAGGTCAAGGGAGATTGAGAGGTTAAGACAAGGGAAAACCTAAGGAGAATCAGACCAAGATATACAAGGAGACATTTTAAGGTTACTGCTTACTCCCAAGGGAGTAAGCATGCCCCTCGCACTGTAAAAACTCCTTAGCTTTCATATCTCAGGGCATGACAGGATTAGACTTGTATATTTGTAATGAAAATCCACAGACTCCTACAAAATTTAGAATGTATGCACAATAGAAAGGATGTATTTTCAGTCAGGAGGGAAAATGACAGAATAAAAATAAACCAGTGCCAGATTAGCTTCAGCTACCAAACCCAGCCATATTTCTGCAGCTGCAGACAAAACACGACTAGTGTTGGTACACACCACTACAAAGGGAAGTTCCAAGGATTTCCCACTATGGTCTGGTTTCCTGAAGTGTAGAAAAAGCAGAGTTGCACTGGCACCAGTGAACCAGCTATTGCTGTATCGCAAGAACATCTTTGTAATTATTTAACAGAGGAAACAAGCTGCCTAAAGGAATAAGGATTCACATGTAGATTAGGAGAGAATGAACTGGTAGCAATATACTGGAGTTGTTGCTGCTCATTAGACCTTGAAGAGAACGGAGAAGAGCGATGCAGCAAGCTAAAGGTGTAATTCAAGTGAACAAGATGACTTAAGATTGTAGATAATTTTCTAAAAGCAACTGGACTGTCTCCTCTTATTATGGTCGAGATTGGTTTCTTGTAGCGCAGCCACAGTTGCTGGACAGCAAGCTTATTACTGCTGTCATATTTCATTAAGAATGCTTGCATTGAAGAGTACCTGGACAATGGAGGCTGTAAAAGACTTCTGCAACTTAGTGCAGAATTTCTCCCTCCTTTTCCCCAGTGCTGCATTTAAATTTCTTGTGGATAATGTATTCCCTTTTGTATTATTCTGCCTGAGAAAAAGACACTAATGCAATTTCCATTCCTATTTAACAAAGTCATTAAGTAAACAGAAGCCTAAACTATCCCTAGTTCTGAATCCTGCCTCCAAACAAGTACCAAAGGAAAAACAAACAAACAAACAAAAGCAAAACAACCAAAACTAAAAGAAACAAACCATGCAAAATCAAAGCAAATATTGACTGATACAAAAGACACTCTCAGTCTCCAGTAATATGCCATTCACAATTTCCTACACCCAAGGTAGTATCGTTGAACTGAATAGTAATCAACACATAAAATGTACATTTGTTAAAAAAGTATTACTGCACAAATGTTGTCAGCAAGGAAATCCACAGCTTAATTAAAATAATACACATGAAATCTATGAACTTTCTAGATTCACTGACTGCTCTGATCCAGTTTCTTCATGCTGCAGAAGTGCACTAGCCTCTACAGAGAAATTACCTCATATTGAGAATACTGCTTTCAGTTGTGGGCCCTACCCACATTTCAGACAACTTATTTCTGTACAATAAGAAGCATGGTCAGAAAAGTACCAGATTTGTGGACAGGACTAAGAAAGAAAATTCTGCAGAGATTACAAGGCAGCTTCTCCCATTTACCACCAAAAGCCATATTAACCTTCCAGACAGAGAACAGGCTGTCATTCTATAGAAGTAATCTGGAAAATTGTTGGAAGACATTTAATAGACCTGCAGAAGTAATGTGGAAGAACAAAACTGGTGTGCTATTTCCTTTTCCTGAGCGTAGGAGTGGAAATTTTTCTTCCATCCACAGCATCAGAAATTTATCTTGTCTTTTTCAGAGCTATGGAAAACAAACTCAAACTCCACCATTATATCTAAGAAACTGAAAGCTAAGTAATTACACTAAAAAGTTTTAACACGTTTAACTCCCAATATTAAAAAACCCCCACCAAACTTAAAATTTAACAAGCTAATCATAAAGTTCATAGAGATCCAAGAGAAAGTGGAACCCTTAACAAGTCTTTTAAAAACATTAGGGGGAAAAAAAAAAACCCATTATTCACAAGAGAAAGTGGAACCCTTAACAAGTCTTCTAAACATTAGGGGGAAAAAAAAAACCCCATTATTCACGTCTTTCAAGTTAAATTGCTCTTCAAGCCAAGGCTACAGAAAAGAGAATACAGACAATTGGAGAATTCCTTTTTAAAGAGCAAATAACATTATAAAGAGAGGATGAAGCAATGTGGTAGACTTAAATGTATTAGCAAGACCAGCACTTCAGCAGAAGCATCAAGACCCAAAGCAGGATTCTTACTGAGCTTGAAATAAAGCCAAACTAGGTGACTAGCCTTCATGAGAAATCACCAGCATCACGCTATTGACATTACAAAAAGTGTAACACTGTGGTAACAAGAAATACGACTTGCAAGGACAATCCCCAAATTCAAGTAGCAGAACCATGTACAAGCTGATTTAATGAACGCAGACCCATCAGTTCACACAGTCCAGCAGTGCTAAGTCACACAGGCCTGCCTGTTATCTTACACTTCTATCAGCAGTCTAACAGTGCCCTTTCCACCATCAGCCCGTTCCCCACACAAAAAGTATCCTCTGTCATACTCTTCTTTGGTCTGTACACAGATTTTGCACAGTCAACTTACTTTTCCTTCTTTTCCTGTTTGTGTGCTTCCCTTGCAAGCTGTGCAGCCTTTCTGCTGTATGGATGGACAACTTTTTTCTCTTGCTTCCCTCCTTGGGTTTTTCGTAACTTTGGCTGAAAAGAAATCAAAGATACTATGCACTAATAAAGTTAAGTAAAACTAAATTAAAGAGAAGACAGGAGCACACACCATGGTAAAGACATATAGTTCATGCATCAGTATCTCAGAAAGCCCTTAACTTACAGTAGCGGGTTATCAGTTCCACCCTCTTCAATAACAAAATTTCTTGAAGTCAGTACATGCCCATAACAAAATTATTACAGCACAGGAGATGCTGTAAGAAGTCTTATGCAGTGACTACTCTCAAAAGACCTATTTTGTTGAACTCTGCAGCTAGGAACCGAAGATAACCCCTCCATACCTTTGCAGCAAATGCCCCCACTCAAGCTTCTATCCCACTGTTGCACCTGGGTTTCTGACAAAGGCCATATGTGATTTGAACAACATAACCAATGGGACTTTCTTGTCCCTCCTAAGAGACCATGACAATGTCTTGCTCCAGGAAGCAGCTAAAGGCTTTTCCTTCTCTAGCCCTTCACACTGTGCAGAGAAGGAATACTACTCACATTTCAACAGCACCACAATGCTACTTTTAACTTATGTTACCCTTGGGTGAAAATGTATCTGAACACAACTGAAATGCTTTATGAAACAACGTGCAATTCAGCTGCGTGCAGCAGAAACACCTGAAAGCAAGGAGGCCTTCATGCATCACAATAAACGGCTATCAATAAACGGAAACTTAGACATCCTATTATCTGTGTTAGCACCAATCCTTAGGGCTGCGAAAATAAGATTAAATCGAAGGCAAACTATCCTGAACACTTCAGGACATCTCAAGAGGCGGCACTGGTCGCACACGCTGACCGCGCTCCTCGCTCCCCCGCCCGCGGGATTCAGCGAACCCCTCCGGGAGGAGACGCGCGGGCGACAGGCAGAGCCGCTCGGGGCTCCCCC